AATTTGGTGGAGATGTTCAGTCTTTTCCAGAAATGGTACAAAAACAATTGGATATCCATATGAAAAAAACCCACTTTTTATTCATACTTCACCCTATATTAACTAAAATGAATCACGGACCTAAATTTAATGTTCATAATAGTTTTTTATGTGAAAATAACTCAAATTTCCACTAATGGAGGAATGGATAAACAAATTGTGTATGTCGATATAATGTAATTCTAGTTAGTGATAAAAATGAATGGACTAGTAATATATGCAACAATATTGAGTCTCAAAATAATTATGTGAAGTGAAAGAAGCCAGAGCTCCCCAAAAAAGTAGGTAACGTATGCTAGCTGATAGTGACAAAAAAGATCAGAGGCTGCCTAGGGACTGGGGTTGGGGGTAGGGAGGAGAATGGATTATAATAGGACTCGAGAATCTAGTGGGCAGTGGATATATTCACTATCTTGATTGTGGTGATGGCTTCATGGGTGTACACATATGTCAAAACATCAAATTTTACACTTCAAATATGTGTAGTTTATTGTATGTCAATTATATCTCAATTTAAATCATAAATTTTAAAAGGAAAAATTATAATCTTTCTTTCTTACATATATATTTGCTTCCAAAACCAATATTCTATTTAAACATTTGCTGACGAATCAATCTTTCTCTTGCATAATTATTTTAATTAAATTAAACAGAATGAATCATTGATAAACTGGCAAATTGAAATTTATCTTTATTCTGTATTAATGATTATTATTAGCAATGATAGTAAAACCAAACTTTGTAATAGAGCCTGGAATATGTCAAGCTAAAGATATTTGAAAATCAATTCTTTTTAAATATATGATGCAAGAATGACAACTTTTTTTTAATTCCTAAGGGGAGGCATTGTGAGATTGTGTATTACTATAAAAAGGGAAGTCAAGGAGGCAGAGGACTGCAGATCCAGATTATTTTAGAGGTCCTGAGAGGTGTGAAGAGACTTGCCCGAAGAGAGACACATGTCCCAACTTTGAGTGAGGATCACAGGAACCCCAAATGTAAAAGGGCCTGATCAACTATACTGCGCCGAACTGCTCTCTCATCTGTCCCGGGCAGGCAAGGAGGCTAGACAAAGATAGAGATTATTCTTACAGGTAAAACAGCTGGGACCATACGATGGGCACCTTTTCTTCACCCTGGGAGTCAGATTTCACTGTGTCACCCTCTGTGTCAGTTCCCTCTTGCCGTTGTAACAGATTAGCACAGACTTTGTGGTCACAGCAACACAAATGTGTGATCTCACAGTCAAGGCAGGGCCACGCTTCTGCTGGAGGTTCTGGGTGGAACCCCTGCCCTGCCTCTTCCCCCTGGGAGAGGCTGCCTGAGCTCCTCGGCTGCTGGCCCTGCGTCCCTCCTACCCTGGCGTCCACCCTCGTGTCTTCCGCTCTCACTGTGACCCGCCTGCCTCTTTCACGAGGACCCCTGTGATTACATGGGGCCCACCAGGACAAACAGGATCATCTTCCCATCTCAAGATGCTCATCACAATCACATCTGCAAAGTCCCTTTTGCCACCATCGAAAGTAACGTAGTGACGGGCTCCGAGGATTAGACCCGGACATCCAGGTGGGGGAGGAAGGATTATCCTGCCTACCATGCCTTCCATTTGGACACTTTGATGTGACCTCAAAATTCAGGCTTTTTTTCTGTTCCTTTCCTGCTATCCCTAGGAAGTCTGTATTTTCCCTCTAGCTCTAGGACAAATTGCCCTTAAACTTTCCATGTATCTGTTCTTGTCCACTTTATCTTCTGAATGAAATTCCTCATTTTCTTTCTTTCCTTTCCTTTAAACTATTCCTCTTGTTCCTCCTGTTAACACACCTGGTTTCCCTTTATTTCCTTGTCCTGGAGATTCTGTGTCATCTGTTTTTCCATTTTCTCTGGAGGAGACAGAGAAGGCTCCTCTCCCTCAGCAGAGAAGTCTGGGGTCATAACAAGCAAGACAGGCCGGGTTCAAATCCGGGCTCTGCAAATCAGCTGGGTGGCTTGGGCACACTACTTGACCTTGCTTAGGAGCCTCAGTTTCCTCATCTGGGAAAATGAAAGAAATAATACCCAGCTTGAGGAAATTGAAGTGAGATGATGCATAAAATGTCATGACTGGCTTATAGCAAGCATTGAAAACATTAGTTCCTTTCTCCCTTCCTCCTATACACACAGAAAGCAAAGGAGGTGATCTGGTGTATGGCTTAAAACCAAGCCCTACCCCTGATTGAGCAGTCTCACGTTGTGGGCAGTGGCTGTTGTTCTGGGGCAATGACTGCTTGTCAAAGTGACCTTGTGAGCTCCCTGAGAGAGCCTTCTAGCTGGTGGTCACAGGTGGTGGAGACACAGGGGCTCGTCTGCTGGGTTCAAACCTCAGCTCTGTTATTACTAGCCATGTGAGCCTAGGCAAGTTACTTAACCTCTCTGTGCCTCAGTTTACTCATCTGTTAAGTTGCGATCTTAAAATTACCAACCTCATAAGGTTGTTAAGAGGAATAAATGCATTACATTCATAAATACTTAATATAAGTCCTGCCACAAAGTAATGCTAAAAATTTATTTAACAAATATTTACTGAGAGCTACTCTAGGCACCTGGCTGGTTGTGAGGAATACTAGGAACAGATGCTGTCCCTGCTCCAACAAGGCTCAGTTGAGCTGGTGGGAGAGGGAGGGGTGTTTCCAAGGAGAAGCACAGTGTGTTCCAGGGTGTGAATGTCAGCCCCTGGTCTACACTGAGGACCGCCCTGGGGAAGTGATATTTGTCAAAACCTGGAATTGTATTGGTGGAGCTTTAAGGTTCTTTGTCAAGCTAGCACTGATCTCTTTCTGCTTGGATTTAAGAATTTCCTAATGCTGGAAGGTGGGTGGCCTGTGGCCACCTGATACTGAGAGTTAAGAGAAAAGAAGGGCCTTGGGTTGCTAGCAGGCCAGTGCGACCTGCCCAGAGGATGCCGGAGGCTGCAGAGCCCAGGGCTGTAGACACGAGCATTTCTGCACACTCTATCCCAGGCCAACACGCTGCCCTTCTCTGGCCAGTGACCGGGCAGAACGGGAGCAAAGAAAGATGCCATATTCTCTTTTGTCCACTGGGTGGAGTATTTTAGCCAGAGAAGGGACCTTTGAAGGCTGTGACACGGTAGATCTTCACCCTGGAGAAGAGGCAAGCTTGGACTGGTCAAGAGTCACACCTATCAAAACCCTCCTCCGCGGGTGACACTCGCCAGACTGCCTCAGACCTGTGGGCTGTGCCCAGGCCTATCCTGGTAAAAAAAAAAAATTTCCTAACAGATTTAAAATTTTGGGGGTCAGAAAGGGCCATAGGAGATCAGTGAGTCTGACCCTCTTTCACAAACTGGAAATGTGGGGCCAGCGGGTGAGGGGACCTGACTCAGGTCAGACCGGTAGGCAGAACCAGGTCTCCTGACTTCGTGGGCGCGGTTCTCCCACTTGGAGCCGCCTCAGAGGCGCTTAGATACGGTCCTGCAGACGTTCAAATGTAGGCGTGGGCACGTATGTGTTATTCCTACATAAAGTAGTCTGAGAGAAAATTAAAGAGGTGGATAAAACTTCTTCTAGCCTCATCTCCCCCCTCCCCCCAAGCTGGTGAAGTGCCCTTAGGCCTTGAGAATGGGGCGTCCACCTCTTCCCCCTCCCCAGGTCTCCTCCCTCAGCAGCCTGCTCCTGCCTCTCCCCTTCCCCAGGCTTCTCCCCATGCTCCCCCACCCCCTGCCACTGGCTCTCTCCTCGCCTTCTCAGTTCTTGAGAGCGCCTGCCTCTGCTCAACGTCATCTCGCACACGCATGCACGCACGCGCACGCGCACACGCATTTTGTTTTTGACTCACGTCTGCCTCCCTTCTCGCATGCATGCTGGGTGAGTTCAGGTTTGCAGTGTATCCGTCCCCAGTACCCAGAGTGTGTATGGTAAGTAGAAGATGCTCCATAAAAATGTGTTTAATTGACAAATAAATGAAAGCCCATGGCTTCAACTCCCGATTCTCTGTAAAATGGATTAGTGTGAAGATCAAATTAAATACTATATGCAAAATCGTTCTGCCACCTGTCCAGAATAAACAAATGAAAGGGACTAGGTTAGATTAGGGGTTCTAGGTGGCACCCACTCACGCAGTGAAGGCCTGGAAAAGGTTAACAAATCAAGGGGCCTATGCCATATATTGTGACAATTAACATTCCTTTGCATTGATTTGTTTATTTTGTTTTACCCCTTCTTGTTCAAAAAACAAAACAAAGAGTGCTTGCTAATAGTACATAAAAACACACATATTTTAGCACAACCACATAAACCAGAGGCGTGCATGACACACCGGCTTGGGCTGCAGCTAAACCTGGAATAAAAAGGCTGATTTGCAGGGTGCAAGGTTGACTTAGAAATGTGTGCAGCATTCCTTCTTTACAAAATAAATAAATTAAAATTACTAAGCAATAAAGCAGAAGAAAAACAAAAATAGGGAAATAAAAGGCAAGAAAAAATAAGGCCGGTACATTAAATGTGAGCCATGAAAACCCACCGCTTCCCGACAGTGGGACACAAATTTAGACGCTCATATCTACTTCAGATGCATGGGAAACTTGATCCCTGCAGCATATAGCAGGGGCTGGGTGTCCTCAGGGCTGGGCTGCCTGGCCCCAAATACAGTCCACAGTCTAGGGACAGAAACTTTCCACAGCTGGGGCTTTTGGTTGTAAGCCATACTTTAGGGCTAACCTAAATTTTAAAACATTACCCCTTTGCCCTGGTAGTTTTATCAATTGTAGGAAATTCAAAGACTCTGACTTTTAATATCTCCCAGTTTTTCAATATCAGGTAAAAAAAAAATTTTGTTTTTTAAAACCACTTATATATTAAGAAAAGTAGAGCAAATTCTAAATAAAGGTAACCCAATGAGGTTGAGACAACTGGGAACGGTTTTGGGAGGCTGACCTCGAAAAGACAAGACATACATTGTTTCACTCAGAAATCTATTTTCCCCCTAAATGTTCTAAAGAAAGCAGAGCTCTTGCATGCTTGCCAATGACCTGGAAAGCTCAGTGCTCGTCAGAGTAGTTATTCTTGGCTCCATCTTTAAAAAACACAGAAACTATACCATGAGAGAGAACGGAACGCTGTCCAGGGTCTCACGGAGCGGCCCCGAGGCCCTGGCTTCCTGGACGTGAACGTGCAGGGTTGAGTCACCCCTCAGCCACGACTCTCGGCACAAGGCCCTCTGGCTGCAGTGGGGGCCTGGCCTCACTCAGAGAGGCCTCCGAGCTGCTCTTTCCCTTCTAGCCCTTACGAAAGTGGAAAGTGGCAGAGTCCTATTTCCAAGGCTGACTTTACGACTGAAGGAAGACGCAAACTTGGCCAGAATCGTGAGGGCCACAGACTCCTCTGAAGAGTGGAAAGACATGACTGGACCATTGTTTGACCAGATGGTCGGGGAGCCGCTTAAGAAAAGGGGTGTCTGCAGGAGAATCGCCCAGGGTCAGAGGCAAAGCGAGCGGGGCAGCGGCCTCGGAGGCGAGGGGGAACCCTTGCGCTGGCGGCCAGTGGCTCTGCAGCCTCAGCTGAGCAGCTGCTCTCTCCGAACCTCAGTTAGCTCCGCTGTGAAATGAGCACTGATCACTCTGCCCAAACCTGCTGGATTCAAGGAGAAAATGGACAGGAAAGGGTTAACGGACCATTGATATTAGATGCCGGACAAATAATTATCATAGTAACCAATATCCCGCCACCTCCAGTGAGAATGAAGTAAGTACAATAGCTACTGTTTTTAAGTACCTACTTTGTGCCGTGTTCTTCCATCTAGATGTTCCAGATCTTACAATCATCACCATTTTGCACAGGAGGAAACAGAAAATCAGAGAGGGCGAGTGACCCTCCAAAGTTCATCAGCTCTTAAACAGCAGAGCGGGGATTTGAACTCTGACCTGTCTGGCTCCAGGGCCCTCTACACCAGTCTGTCCAAATGAAGATGAAAGGGGCAAAATGATATATGTTGGGGGTGAATATAAAAACAAGACATATGACAGGGATGATAACAGAAAACCCAAGAGGGTTTCTGAGGGAGACTATTGAGTGTTGCTTTATTTAATTTTAAAATGAGGACAGGTTCTCCTGGCAGCTGCAGGGTTCAGCTGTGGGCAGGGACAGTAGGAAAGGAGCTGAGACCCAGGTGGGCAGGGGACCCAGGTGGGCCTCTGTGTGCAGGGCTGGTGGGAAAGGGTGTCCCTGCATCCCTCGCCCAGTGGCCGGCAGAGGGTTTCTGAGAAGAGAGGAGGGGGGCAGGGACAGACAGGGGCAGAAGGTGAAGTCCACCGTCTTGGGGCTCTGTTTTGTTCCGTGTCGCGGTGGTGGCAGGGCATGGGCAGACTGCCAGGAGGGGACAGGCTGAATTACCTCCCTGGAGTCATTAAACAACTCGATAATGTGTGAGGGGCATTCTGTGTGTTCCAGCCTCTCCCTTTGCTTATTGGTACCGTAGTCCCTTATCTCCCTCTCCTCTCATTTTTCTTCCTCCCTCTTGAGTTTCTCTCTCTCCTTTGACCTCTCTGGCCTCCTTAGTTCACGTGTGCACATCCTCTGTTTCCTCCTGCCTCCTCCCTCTCCGCCACCCTGGCAGACCATATCAGCGAATCCCTCAACAGCGTCATATCTAACTTTTTATTCATTGCATGATTTATTTTTAGCCTGAAACAACTGCATCCTAAAAATGGAGTTCCTAATGAGACAGGGGCTGGGCAGAGCTATGTAAGGTATCTGGGGCTTGGCCTGCCAGCCTCCCTAGCCTGGCTCCCATTCTACGAGTGTGTGTGTGTGTGTGTGTGTGTGAGATCCTCCGCTCTTTGTCCTGAGCTAGCTGGACCCAAGGAGGTGAAGTGTCACTCCTTGGCCCCAGGAAGGGCACAGAAGAGAGACCAAATCAGCCTTTTTGCTCCCTACTCAGCTCAACAAGACCTCCGAGAATCTTCTGTCCTCTCTCCTGCACGTATAGTGTTTTGGGGAACAAGAAACAAAACTTTTCCCAAATGAAGAGAACTCACCTGTTTGTTGTGGGGGTCTATCTGCTGTCCTCTTGCAGGGCAGAAGAGGGGCTTAACTTCCCCACGTATGATGGGAAGGACCGAGTCGTAAGTCTTTCTGAGAAGAACTTCAAGCAGATTTTGAAGAAATACGATGTGCTCTGCCTCTACTACCATGAGCCGGTGTCTTCAGATAAAGTCTCGCAAAAACAGTTCCAGCTGAAAGAAATTGTGCTCGAGGTAAGTGGGCAAAGGAGCAGCTGGCCACGTGTGGGTGAGTGTGGGTGTCAGGCTGTGTCTTCGGCCAAGGTGTGGGACGTGGGAATGAGGGCGCAGACAGTACAAACTGAGGTCTGCTGCATTCTGGTCTCCCCCGTAAATCAGAAGATGTTCTTGTTGCAAAGCTGGGATGTGTGAACAATGAGGGGTGGCCCCCCTGTCTAAATGGAGAGAACTGAACCTGTTGCACAGTGAGGGCCTGATTTAAAGTCTTTCATATCATGCTCCTGTGGAGTTTTCAAGAGCCCTTTTCCCAGCCACTGTTTGGGGGAGAGAAAGTTAAAACTACTGTTAAAACTCTCAGGTGGAATGAAATTCAAGGATCCCGTGTGTGGTTCCATTCAGTGCCATGTCCCACTCTGGCTCCCTTGAGCTGCCCAGTCATTCTGGAGAAACCAGGGTCACTTGACCTTGCCTTTCTTCATGGAGCAGATTTGCTTCTCCTGTGACTTGCCTTCAGTCAGCATCACAGATATAGTTGTGTGGAGATCTGAGCTGCATATTCATTAACGGGATTTTTTTCCCCCTCGGAAAGTTCTTGGTGCACGTTTAGGGCCAATGCTGAAGTCAGTTCTTATTTTATCTGCATTACATGGCCTGTGTGTAACCTGGCACCAGGGCCCATTTTCTAGTGCTCTGCAAGTGCCTCAGAAACTGTTCCTGCAGCTCCTCCTGGACAGCTCAAGAGCACTTACACTGCAGGACACCTGAGTGCCAAGAATCCTCGTGGGCACTAAGACTTCTCATCAGTGCCCATGCCCAGCCTAGGCGCAAATCTGTGAAAAAGGCTATCTGAGAATTGCAGTCTATTAACCAGCACGATCAGAGAACTCAGGTTAAATAGCTTGATTAACAGTATTGCCATATAAAACCCATGTGGATTTGAATTAAAAAATATTCACTGTAATAAAATGCAGCAAAACCGTCCTCAGTATATCAAAACTATCTTTGATGATTTAGAAAGCACTTCAGAATCCTGAAGTGTCTTCTGATCAGCATACAAACACACACTTACTGTCACAGGATTTTTATATGGTGGTGTGGTTATGACAGAGAGCTCTGGTTGACAAATGCTAAGCACTTAAAAAATGTCACTACTATCATTATGTTTTTCCTCAAGTTCCACCCTGAGGGCTGAATGTGGACGTTCGGTTCCCTCTGCGGGTTACAAGAGAAGAGAAAACAGGGACGGTTGTTAGGTCTTTGCACTACAGAAATGAGAACATCACAGGCTGGGAAAGAACAAGACACAGAGCGTAGCTGCTGCTTGGCCCATGAACTCAATGCTTACGCTACCATGTCATCTCAAAGTGCCATAGTCAATTATTGAGAGACATTTTTGTGAACATGTTAATTGAAGGCATAAGAATTCTCCTGTATATGCCCCACACTGTTCAATTAGCCTGTAACTCAGAATGCCTTTGGGTGGCCAGTGTAGGCGGTGACAGCCATTTCTGGTTCCCCATCATATTTTTTTAAAGGAGGAAATACGTATGTGTATCTGTCCTAAGTATATACCTCCCCGAAACTAAGTTCTGGGCCCTCAAACAAAATCATAAGAAGGGACTTTGCCTGAGTTCCCAATCCCTCCAGACACCTTAGATCCAAGCACGCCCTCTCCTGAGTGGGCACCAGCCAGGCTGAGACCAAAGGGGGAAGCTCTGCATCTGCTAGCCCGATGCCCCTCAGGCTCCTAATGCTGGGGTGGGGCGTCATTAGGGGGAAAAGTACATAGAACTTAGAGTCAGAAGATCTGGATTTAAGTTCTGGCTTTGCTTCTACTAGACACATGACACAAGGCAGGTTATTTAATTTCTTATCTATAAATACAAAAAAAAAATAATAACTATCATATAAACTTAAAGGATGATCAAATAACTACAATGGATATTTATTGAATGCTTACTTGTGCAGGGACTGTATATGTTAGCTTGTTTAATCCTTACAATAACTCTATAAAGTAGGTACAAATACTATCCCCATTTTATAAATAGGGAAACTGAGGCAGGGAGGCTGAGTTGCTCAGGGCCACACAGCTAGTGCAGGTGAAGGCAGTCCTTAGTCCCTACACTGCACTACTCTTGGAGTCAGTGAGATAGTGCGCAGGGAGCTGCTGAATGCCCTGTTTGATATTCTTTCTAGAGTCTTCCTTAGAGTTGCTCAGCCTGTGGGCCTGGGCCTGGTGGTGCCAGCTGTGTCACCAACAGGGCTGAGAAGCACATAGCCCTGGAGGCACTGCTCTTGCAAAAGCCCAAGCCAGGGAGGAGGCCTGGGCTCCGTTAGTGAGGTTGGGAGAGGGCTGGGCCTACGTTGAGATACCAGTCAGATGCAGGCTTTACTTCGTAGTATCCAGGATAAAAAGGGGCTCTGGGAATTCCGTGAGTGGAAAGAGAGAATAGATATGAGCCTTTAAGTTTTATTTGTGGTCAGAACAATTATTTTGTCCTCTTAATCTCCTGGACTCCAAATTTGCACTAAGAAAAATATTCTGCCGGCTCCAGGGCTACGGCTGTTAGGTGGGTGGAGAGAAAAGAGAAGGCAGCCCTCGGTGCACACCCGCGGGTGGTGTGGCCTGCGCATGGCTCCACAGCTGCGGGAGTCGAGTCGGGCTGCCCGCCTCCTAGCAGCTTAGGAAGGTGGCTTCCCACACAGTTTACTGCAACCCACTATGACCCTAGCACACACAGACACACACATAGCTGAAACAAAAGTTTCATGGAACGATACGTATTATTATTGCTTGGCGAATAATTGGGTTTTTAAACAATTCCTTCCTCTTCTACTTTTATTCTCTTCTGCTCTATTCTATTTCACTTAAAAAGTTGATCTCAACCTAGTAAGTTGATTTCACTCTCCAATGATGAGTCATCATCCCCAGGTTGAAGAATCTGAGGAATTTTTAGGGATTAGAAGCTTATAACTCTTCACACAAGAGCTACCCCATTCTGAGAACACTCCAAAGGCACTGTGGTCATCATGTGTACTTTATCTGTATCTCTAAGGAGTGTCAATAAGCAGACCCAGAAACAGCCCATCCACGGGGCAGGAAGGTCACCATCTGATGAGGAGCCTTGAAATGCTGTGCAGTTAGTCACTCGCTCTGCGTTGGGCCCCGAGACAGATGCTGTGGCTACAGAGAAAATGAGACATGCGAGTGGCTCACAGCCTAGTACAGAAGAAGACATGCAAACAAAAAGCTACAATGGGGTCAGTGTGACAACAGAGCAATGTATAAGTTTCTCTGGGAGTGCAGAGGGAAGAGGACGGGCCAGCACTGGTTTGTGAAACAAGTAGGAATTCACCAGGCAAAGTAGAAAGAGCAGGGGAGGGAATTGTAAAAGGAAAGATTCTGATAGTTCTCAAATATTTTTCCATCTCCTAGCTTTTTCCTAAAATTTGGCCAGGAGGGCCTCATTCCTTCAGGATAAGATTGTTATTCCTACTTAGTGAAGTCCCTCAGGGAGAGGTAGTCCTTTAAGATGTTGCCAATCACTTACATCCCATATGCCCGAGTCTAAGTGAGTCGTTAAAACAGGGTTTGACAAGGGGAAGAGGAGAAGAGAGAGAATATAAGGTCACTAAAAGCTTAGCAGGAAAAGGGAAAGTAAAATGACACCAGGAGGCACCAAGCTCAGTCTTTGCTCTCCAGGCTGGCCAGGGTCTAGCTCTGGGGGGCCCAGGGGTGGGTGCTGGGTCCATAGCTCTGTGCAGATGTTCTATACATGCTTGTTAAGTGAGTGAAAGAATGAATGAAACGTTGGGGCTCAAAGGACCTTGGCACTCATCAAGATTGCTCTGGGATCCCTCATTTCATAGATGGAGCCTTGGCTTAAACAGCCAGTGACCCTGATTCCTGGTTGGGCACTCTTCATCAACAAAATAGCACATACTCATTCAGAAAGTTCAGAATATGTGGAAAAGGATAAAAAAGACAATAAAAATCCCACCCCCAAATAAGCACGGTTCATGTTGTGATAGATTTCTTTCCGGTATGTTTTTCCTATACATAAACATACATTTTTCAATTGGGATTATACCATTTATGCAGTTTTCTTTCCTGTTTTTTTTTTTTCATTTCCATATATTGTATTTCCATGTCATTAAATAACTTTATATTTTTTGTAAACATAATATTAATGCCAGCATAGTATTCCACTATATCACCGTACATATTTAAAAAATATTTTCCCTATTTTGGAGTCCTGACACAATTTTCTGGGATTTTAAAATCTTTGTCTATTTAGGTTTTTTCCTTTTTTGTTTTTGAGACAGGGTCTTGCTCTGTTGCCCAGGCTGGAGTGCAGTGCCATCATTGTAGCTTACTGCTGCCTCCAACTCCAGGGCTCAAGCAATCCTTCTACCTCAGTAGTCCCAAGTGGCTGGGACTACAGGTATGTGCCACCACCCCAGCTAATTTTTCTTATTTTTTGTAGAGATGGAGTCTCGCTATGTTGCCCAGGCTGGTCTCAAAACTCCTGGCTTCAGCGATCCTCCTGCCTTGGCCTTCCAAAGAGCTGGGATGACAGGTGTGTGTGAGCCACTGCACACTGCACCTGGCCTCTGCTTAGATTGTCATTGTTGTTTTAATGAACACTTCTTTGACTTCTGGCTAGACTGATATTTTTTTCCTTAAAATTATTTGCCACTTACATATTTTTTTCTTCCGTGAATTATTTTTCTTTGCCTTTTCTCATTTTTCCATCAGTGTGTCAGCAGAAATTATGAAGGGAGTTGCCATTTTGTATGCTGTGTTGCCATTTTGTATGCTGTGTCTTGCAGCTTCAGCCAAGACAGTAAATTTAGTCACAGCACAGTGCCCAACTCCTGCTAGCATTGGAGGACACAGAGACAGAGAAGAGGACACAGCCGTGAATTCAGTTTCCTCTTGCTCCTGTGCTTGCTGCTTCCACTTTCACCTCGAAATTGCTGTGTGAGCTGTTGCTCCTATCTTGTTCTATAAATTGCCAGAGGAAGCCCTTCCACAGCACCATCTTCCCTGAGGTTAAAATGTTAGAGGGATGGCATGCTCTAACTCAGGCTTCCGAATCTGGGAGACCTGGCTCCTTGTTTGTAGAGGGGAGATGGCTGTGTTGTTGCAAGGGCTGAATGAGGCAGCACTGCAAGAGCGCCGCTTCCGGTACCTAGAAGGTACCAGATGGGGCACCACCCTAACAGACGCTGGCTCCTTTCAGCTCACACTCCCCTCCGCAGCCAGGATTTCCAGCACAGCACAACCTAACCCCATCCGTTTACAGACTAGGCAACCAGGCCTCGGGGGGCTCAAGACCGGGAACACAATGCCCCGTATTGCTTATTCACAGCCAGCTGAGCCCTGCAGAGGAGTGACTTGCCCGGGGTCACACTCTCGAGGTCCTCTCTGTTCTGCAGGGCTTCGCTGCACCTGTACTGTGTACGGTCAGCAACCTGGTCAGCACCACTTATTAATTCAGGCTCCTCCCCGTTCTCATGTTGTCTCACTTCCTAGGAGAGGTGCTTCTAGTTTCCTTCTAATTCCTCTTCTATTAACATCATAACCTGCTCATTCTCCCCATGGAGACACATTGGGTTTCTCCCTCTAGATCGGAAGCCTCCTGAGAGCCACTGAATTCAAAGTAAACTTGGTCATAGGGGAAGCAAAAAAGAAAGTCAAAAACAGACACAAAAAAAGCGGAAACAAGTTCACATTGGGCAAAATTCAAGGAATTGCTTGTGAATAAAAAACACGATGGAATGAATGAACCTGTCATGCGGCAATGTGGCAGGAGTCCCTGCTGGCAGAGTGTGGGCAGCAGAGTGTCCCAGATGTGAGTTCCGAGCTCCCCGCACGTGGCATTCCCATTCTGCCCATCACCTAAGCTGGGATGGGGGGTCACCAGCCCTCCCCTCCCCCTCTGGCCTCCACAGGAGTCTCATTCCTGACTCCAAGGCCCTTATGCTGTCCTGTCCTCTATGCCACTCCACTGCGAGGAAACCAGCATCCCGAACTGAAAAGAAAGGCAGGAAAGGGAAAAAGCCTTTTACTGGTTAACTTCACACTTAGACACAATTTTATAGCCACTTAAACCTTCTCTAGAAGGAAAGGATAAAAAAACACACAGGGACCTCAGCGCTCTGTTTTAGGGTCTCTGGGCCCTTTTCACTTCACAGTCACACACTTCACATGCAAAGTCAATGCCGTCAACTGTGTGTGTGTGTTTTAGGTGGCGGGTGGGGGTAGGAGACAAGGGGTGCAACTAAGTAGCCCAACCTGTAACCAGCATGCATTTATTGAGTTAGGGGAAGCTATGGGGGATTTTTTTCAGGCAAGTTAGTGAATGTTTCAGGACATGAAAATAAATACTATGAATCCCTGAATAGACACTCAATAATCTTTGCATGAATGAATGAAAGAATGAATGATGAATGAGCAATGCTTTCCACATTGTGAACAGTAGTGACTTGTTCATTTGTTTAGGGTGAACTGGGTCTCTCAGACTGGCAGGCAATCTGGTGTCTCAGCACAAAAACAGCAACATCATCTCGGTAGTTGAACACCAGGCTGACCTGCTGCTCCCGTTGTTTTTCAACAGGCCACAGCTAGAGTTCAAGGTCTGAGGCTGCTCCTCAGTGCCCCTCGCTGGGGTCCTTGTGCTTAAGAAAGTCTCGATCTAGCTCACCACATAGAATCTGTGAGGACATTCTGCTGCCATCCACACACAACCTGTCCAAGGGCTCCATTCCAAGCTTTCTTGGATATTAAATGTCAGGACCACTACCTAAAAAATATTGGAAATGGCCTATCCACTGGGAATAAGAGTGCTGTTATGACCACTTTTCCGGTGCTGGTATACAGGTTACTTTCTGATAATTGTTAGGTGGTGATTCTAGCACAGGTTATCCATTAGGCCCTGCAGAGGAGAGAGAGACTGGCTCCATCACCCGTGGCAGAATCAATCATCAGAATCCTGTGCAATGTAGGTCTCTAGCTTCTGCAGCTATTTGGTGGATCTCTTGATGTCACTTCTCTTAGTCTGCTAAGGTCCCTAACAGACTGAGCTCCCTTCTTTGTTCAGTTCTCAGGCTCCTAATTGATCTGTATGTGAGAGAAAAGTAACTTTTAGCTGGGAGTGACTGCAGACTTTTCAGACTCTGCCATGTGCCCAGCATTGTTGAGGCGACTCGTGTGCACTCTAAGAACACTGCCATCCTCACCGTGCCAACCCCAGATAAGGTAGCAGTACTTGGGAGCAGCAGACAATTGGATTCAGGCATCTGAACTTCTCTTCCATTTATCCATTATCTGATGCTGGGCAAGTCACAGAGATTCACCTCATTCCATTCATGTATATAATCCATATATAAAATCATCGATAAAATCAACCATGTAATTTCTACCTCAATGACTTAAGAGAATTAGATGAAAGCAGGTAAATAAGAATGTCTTATAAAATTATAAGAATCTGTACAAGAGTCAGGTATTATTTTTGTTATGTCAGTTACTATTGAAGAAATTCTTCTATGTAGAATGACTAATTAAGTGTTTGGAAATAGCTGGTGCTTACTGAGGTGCTTTCCCTTCCCCTGTCACTTGAGTTTTTGTACATGTTTTTAGCCAACTGCAGTAGTTCTTAACTTTGGTTACATACATACTTTGGTCACCTAACGAGTTTGCAAAAATATTGATGCCTGGACCTCATCTCCCCCAGATACTAGTTTAACTGGTCATTGAATGAGGGGGGTGATGTCTAGACACTATAATTTTTACAAGCTCACTGGGCAGTCCTAATGTGCAGCCAAGTTTGAAGACCACTTGAGCCTCAATGCTCAAAATATGGCCCCCAGACTAGTGGCAGTGGCATTATCCATGACCATGTTAGTAATGAAGACTCCCAGGCCCCAATCCCAGAATCAGAATCCACATTTAAATGGGATCCTTGGGAGGCTTCTAGACACATTAAAGTTTGCAAGCAGTGTCCCAGTCTATTAGGTTAGAGACATTTTTCAGATGACTGGAATCATGTTGCCCCTGTTTGGTCTTTGGTCAATTGGACCTGTTGGTATACCTCTGATTTAGAGAGCTGTTGGGGTGCTATGTTGGTTCTGAGGGTGCAGGGATTTAGAGCTGTTCTGAGGATCAGCCTGGATTCTCCCACTGACTTCTCACTCACACAGTCAGTGATTAATACTTCTAACCTTAGAAGAGAATGATCTTGGACTAGAGAATCCTTGCCCCGTTTGAGAGCTTTCCAGTGGAATGTCCTGGTTTCCTAAGACCAAATCAGAAGGTGCCCTTCTAAGTGTTCTTAGACACTCTTAGGTCAGGGTCCAAGATTGACTTTTAGAAATAGAAGACGTGCATCTATTAATATTTGGTTGCTGTGGCACACTACCCCTTTCCTCCGGAGATGACAAATCTGAGAACCCTGGGATATATGGTTGTGGGAAACTAAGATGTAATGATGTTTAAAGGGAAACCATGGGAAAGCTTCTCAGTGTAACTGGAGAATGTTCTATAATGTGAAACTAAGTCTTGTGAACACTCAAATAGGAATATTCATTTTTTCATTTATTCATGAAATATTGGTCTTATTTTCTGTCTTAGTCTGTTTAGTGTTGTTATAAAAGAATATCCAAGGCTTGGTAACTTATAAAGAGAAGAGATTTATTTGGCTTATGATTCTGGTGGCTGGAAAGTTCAAGACTGGCAGCTGCATCTGGTGAGGTCCTCGTGCTACTTCAACTCATGGTGGGAAGCAGAAAGCAGAAAGCAAAAGTGAGGCAGGCACGTGCAAAGAGATCACATGGTGAGAGAGGAAGCAAGACAGAGACCCCAAGGAAGCCAAGCTTGTTTTTAACAACCTGCTCTCTTGGCAGGGAATAAATCCATTCCCATGAGAACTCACTCACCCCACCCAGAAGGGAATTAATCTATTCCCAGGGGATCTTCCCCCATGACTCAAACACCTCCCACTACACCCCACTTCCCAACACTGACACATTGGGAATAAAATTTCAACCTGAGCTTAGGCAGGGACAAACCACACCCAAACCATGTCACCTACAGAGACACAGAGGGCATGCCCCCTGATGTCTAAAGAGATGGTCCTCTTTTGTTGATGGTAAGAACTCACTTCCTTTAGGTCTATGCCTAACTGTCACCTTATCAAATAAATTAGCACCCTGACCACCTATGTAAACTATACTATCCCAGCACTCCTTGTATCTCCTATACTCTGTTTTGTTTTCTTTATAGTACTCGGCTGACATGTTGTATATTTTTGATATCCTCTATAGAATGTAAAATCCACAAGGGTAAGGGTTTTGTTCTACTCCTTTCTGTAGATCAGTGCCTGACTCAGTGGATATTCAATAGTGTTTGTTGAACAAATGTTGAATGAACAGAAAGGGAAGGAGGAGAAGGGAGATAACATGTATTATGAATTTACCATAAACCATGCCCTATACGGGTGCTTTACATATGTTATTTTATTTAATTCTTACAACATATTACAGGCAGAGAAATGGGCTAGAGAGTTAAGTAAAAATTTCTCAAAGTCACTAAGTTATAAAATAGCAGAGCATGAAGCAGGGTTTGAACCCACACCTATTTGGTTCCAAATCACATGTTCCTTCCACTACGCCAAGGAGCAGCTGAAAGGGATTACCTCATGTCGGTAGGGAGTGCCAACTTATGAAGGGACAAGTGTCTTTACTTTGTACTCTGGATTTGCATCCACAATTTAGCAACATTAAATTGTACGACTCTACTACATGTTGAACCTAAATGACTAGTGTGAGCAAATGGACTAATGCTTGACATCTACTTGGAATTCAATAAATGTTTGCTGGATGGATGGAGGATGGATGGATGGATGGATGGAGAGAGAGAGAAAAAAAAAAGGCAAGGGATTATAAATGCATTACCTATACTGAGAATATATTTATCCTTGATCTCTGTTTTTAAATTAAGTTACATTTTTAAAAAGTATTGAGTAGAATAGTAAAGAGATTGAATCTGTCAGCTTTAGGAGCCTGTTTGTTACCCTTGCTTAATCCCACCAAAATATGGGTAAAACGGCTTTTATTTTTTTAACCATGGGACTCTCAGCCCAAAATATATGCACACGTGGGCAGAAACCTCTGGGCTTTATAAGGCTAACCATGCATTCTAAATTCATTTAGCACTGGAAAATGTCCCAGTGATTGCATTTCCAAACCCCAAGAGAGGAAGGAAAATGGAAGTTGCTGGAGTCAAGTCAATCTACAGATGGAGCAGTGTGGGAATACTAGGCAGAGAAGAGCAACACACACAGGATTCAGGGATTTGTTTTTCCAACTGTTCGCTGCCCAAAGATGGTACTCTCCAAACTCACACCTGCTCCACTCTGAAAAATCAGACGAGGTCAGGCTTGTTTTGGTTTGGCATTGAGAACGAGCAGTCATATAGAGCCCCAGCTCTCTAAGGAGATGCTCACTTCTAAATTGCAGTTCTCTGTAAAGCCCAAGTGCCGTTGAACTCTTTGATGGGCGCTTGCTGGGTACTTCTCAGGAATACGACCGATGCTTGGAGTGAGATGGTGAATGAACAAGAAGTGTTATTGGTAAGAGCGTGGAATGAGTTGATTGTAGTTAAATTCTTCCTTCTCCTATAGAATTAATAAAGAAATAGGGGTTTTACAAAATGGAAAACACTCTGTTGATTCAGAAGTGAAATCTTCTTCTCTCACTCCTCTTGCCCCAAAAGCCCTCAGTAACACTCAAGCCCACATAGAATACCTGAGCACCATATTCCTGAGGTACATCTCCTCCCAAAGTTGTAAATTATTAAATGAGGCCATGAGCTACCATGAAAGTCACCATTATGGAAACATTATAAGGGCTATTATAAAATAAAGCAGTAAAAAAAAAAAAAAAGTAAGAAATAAAACCTGTTTCACAATCACAAGATTTTTCTTCAAAATCAGCAGCCCTACTGTCTAGCAGTTTGAGCTTTACAGGTTGGTGTGGAGTATTTTTGTATCATTATCAGCTTAGCCTTAGCTCATATCTAAAATGACTTCTTCAGCCCAGAAGCCAGCGCCCTGAAGTCCTGCGCCTATTCAAAGAAGCCTTGCAGGAGTGGGGAACCTGCAGCCTTCTGATTTCAATACTGTTCTTTTTTAAGCACCAGAGAAGACAAGAAAACCTTCATCTTTTTCTGCTACACCCCTTTTAATAAAAGGATGTGTTCTGTAAAATTTGGATTCAGTCAAAAGGCCACACTTAACAACCTAGAAGGCTGCAGGTTCCCCACCCCTGCAAGGCTTCTCTATTTGATCAACTGGATGTGATAGGCTGTAATTATCCTGATAAGCTGTTTCTGTTTGGACAGCCACCCAGGAAAACGGCCAGTGAGGCGTCTTGCAATGTGATGGGCTGGGCAGGCCAGAGCTGCTTCTGCGTGCCTGGAGTGCCTGGTTCCAGGAGGGCCGGCCAGCTGCTCAGGTGCCCAATCCAGGCAGGCCTCTCCTCGCCATCTGTCGTATTCTAGGCCAGCCAGGTGAGCCACAGGTGCTGTCTCACCTGCTCACCTGCCTCTACCTTACATGTCATGCACAGCCACTCTGGTTTAGGATACCTGACCGTGAGCCTGACCACACACACTTGATTTATATGTGATAGAAATGAAAGCATCCCCCGAAAATGTGGGGGGAAGTATATATAGCACATAAATGGTGACTGGCAATAGTGTCTGGCAGCGTAGGGCGCACATGTTTGCAGTTAGACCCACCTGGGGTTGAATCCTTGCATTAGCTATGTGACCATAGGCAGGCTACTTAAGTCCTAAAGGCAGTGATTCCTTTGTAAACTGTAAACCACAGTACCTTTCTCATGGGGTTCCTATAAAGATAAGAGAGGTGATGTGTAAAATGACCAGCATGGGTTTGGTACTCAGTAAAAGGCTGTTCTTGAAATCACTGTGTACGTAAAAGCCTATGGAAAACTGCCACTCTCCCCCAAAGTTAGTTAGCCATGATATGTGTTGTCATTCTTAGATACTGTCAAAGTAAACACTGGTTGGATATTTCATAAAGTCCACCCAAGCAGTAATGGGTTCCTCTTCTGTTTTTTAATGTGCCTTGTTTCGAAGAGATAGGGCAAAGATCTTTGCCCAGCCATTATTTTACATTTAGGAGGTCTCTCCATGAGCTGAAGCACTCCCAGCCCCCTCTCTAAAATGAAAAATATCAACCTTCATCGAAGGTTAATTTAAAAGGGGGTGATCTCTCTCTGGCTCCAGAAAAGCACTGATACTGTGCAGGACCTTTTCCCAGGGGCAGTTGGCAGGAGGGACTACCAGAGGAGGTCAGTGTTTGGGCTGCCAGACTGCGTCTTCACAGGCCCTGGGGCACAGAATTCTGCTGAGAAAAATTGGAAAAGGGCATGGCCTAGCCCCACGTCAGACAGATTTAGTTTTTAAAAATCCCATTGCAGCGATATTTTTAGTACAAAATGAAATAAAACAAACAAAAAACCTGACTTTCAGGGACAGCCTCCCTCATTCCGGCAGTTTGGAGGTTCTAGAACACTACACAATAAAAGATCGTGGTTGTGTGTTAGAGACCGTGGCAGAGCGGTGGTTCTCAGTGTGTGGCACCAAGACCAGGTCCTGGGCCCTGGTCAGAAATGCAAGCTCTGGGGTCCCACCCCAGACCTGCTGAATCAGACACTCTGGGGCGGGCCCTGCAATCCGTTTTCAGGGAAGGCTGCTGTGCACCCAGGTTTAAGAACCACTGCCTTACTGCAGTGGGGTCTGCGTGTAGTTAATGCACAGGGAATGTTCACTCACACCTGTATACCTGCTACTTCTGCAAGATTAGATCTCATTTTTTCTATTAGAATATTGAGATCAGATAAGTTGTGACCTGCTCTGAGCCTCTCAGCTGATAAGCAGTCGAGCCAGGATTGGGGCCCAGGTCTCTCGGAGGCCAGGGGTGCAGGAATAGAATGTAATGAATGGGAGTCCGGCTCTGGAGCCAGAGTTTCGGGGTGGGAATCCCTGTGGGGTCACTTATGCTCTGCATGGCCCTGGGCAAGTTGGCTAGCCACTGTATGCCTCCATTTCCTCATCGGCAAGCCTGTACCCCATGAGGGTTCTGTAAAGATGCTATAAGATAATCCTTGTAGGGTAGTTGGAGCAAAGACTCACATGTAGTAAACACCCAGTAAATGCTATTTTTATTGTTGTTGTTGTAATACTGCCTCTCAGACTGTGGAAAAAGCACACAGCATCAGCCCTTGGATCTCTTCCTAGGCATTGACCAAGGTGACAGTCCCAAAGTGCCAATCAAAACAACCAACAGCCTCCCTCTGCCCCCACGCCTCTTTCAGGGGCCACCCTTTCCAGATCCAAGAGGCCCCAGTATTCTCCTGAATCCCGTAAAATAGCTGTCCCGTCCCTCGGCCAGCCTCCCCCACGGCTGTGTCCTGGGCCAGCCGCCCAGCTATACATAGCCCGGGCCTAATTCGAGGGCAGCAGAAAGTGACGGGAGATTACCGGAGATAAACGCCAGCTCTCGGGTTTCAGGGAGGACGCGCAGTTGTTGAATTGCTTGACATGGCGCCAGATGGTATTGGGGACAGTGGGTAAAAACAGCCGTTGGCTCTTGGCTTCCATGGAAAGAGCAGGGCTGCAGCCAGGGTATTTTTAATGACTGGCCTGAGGGACATTCACTCAGAGCAGAGATCTGTGACATTCCCCACAGGCTCCTCAGTTCCAATTTTTTTTTTTCAGATTCCTGACCTTGCAGAAAGTAATCCCCACCCACCTCCCTTCAATAAGTAGCCACCTCCTTTTTCTCTACTGCTGTACTGCCCCACACCACCCCTCCCTCCCTCTGACCACGACGTAAGTGAGTCTTTCTCCTCCACAAGACAGTTCTTGGGAAGTGGTACAAAGATGGTTTTCTTCTTGTCTTTCCCTCCCTGGACGAGAGCTGGCTGGAAGCACTGGGGGTGCTGTCCTGCGAGGCCCTTGCTGCTGTGCTAGTCACCCGTCCTGTCACAGGCAAACTTCTTCAACAAGTGATCCACACCTGCTCTGACTTGTCCCTGCCACCCACTCAACCATTAACTCCCAGTGCTTTGGCTTCTGTCATGGCTCTTCTCTAAAACATCACCCATGACTTACCAGTCCTGAAATGAGAGACCTCATGGTGGTCCAGCACTGCTTGACTCCCTGCAACATCTGGTATGACCACTTGCTCCTCCATGACTTTGGAGTCACGACACTAGGGTCCTTGCCTCCTCCCACTTCTCCGACAGGTCCTCTCAGCCTCCAGGACAGGCTTTTCTTGCTCTTGCCTCTGAGACAGCCAGACCTTGACCCTGTGGCTTTCTCGCAGGCCCCCATGTCCCCTGCCCTCATGCCTTCACCTCTCACTCCCATAGTTCCAATCGAGACCCCTCCCCCAGGCATACTCACCCCCTCACACTCTTGACAGGACTTCCATGACCATGGACTTATGGCATCTGACCCCACACTGAGAAGCTTGCCCCTGGTCCTGGCATGGCCTCCTGATGTCACTGTGTGTCCTTCGCTCCGTGCCCTGGCTGGAGACCCTGGACTCATCTTGCCTCCTCCCTCTTCTTTGGTCTCCCTCCCTTCTCTCTCCAAAGCCAAGGAAGAGTTACCAGGTCTGACTGATTCTCAACTTGTAGCATGCCCTGCACAAGTCACTTGTCCCATTGCCACTGCTCTGGTCTGAGACCAGTGCCATCTCCCACTCAGACTGTGACATCAGCGTCCCAACTGGCCTCCTTTCTTTTCCACTCTTCTTTGTGTCTGTCTGGTCTCTGCCCTCAAATAGACCCTCCCCAAACTCAAATTAGTCATATTGTTCTTCTACTCAACTCCCCAATCAGAACTTCCAGGTCTAATATTCAAAGTCCTTCACACTCTTTTTCTCATATGCCTCAACACAGGACTCCTCTCAGCTCCCCAAGTAAGCCCACTGCTCAAGTAGGTCAGCTCTTCTCCTGCATGCTCTGCACGCCCGCCCCTGCACGCCCGTCCCTGCACACCCGCCCCTGCACACCTCTGTTTAGGCCTTTCCTCTTTCCAGGGCGCCCTTGCTGCCTCTTCTGCCCGTCCACACACTTCTCTTCCAAGGTCTAGCTGGGCCCCCTCTTCCAAGCAACCTCCTCCTTTGCTCACTCATTTATGTAAGAAACTACTATGTTTTGAGATCTACTCTATCCAGGTAGGGTATCAGATGCTGGAGATAATGTAGGGAGAAAAACAGACATGGACATGGAGCTTACAGGCTATAGCATGGCTACTGATAGACAAATAATGATGTAAGTTAATGTGCACTTACAAACTGAGAGAGAGTTGCAAAGGACAAGCAGAGGGCACTACAGTCAAGGGTGAAAAGGGTAAGAAGAGTAAAAACTGAGATTAGGAGTTAGGGAATGTCTTTTGAGGAGCTGACATTTAAGCGTAGACTTCAGGAACAGGAGAAGTTGTCAAAGAATGGGAGAAGGTCTTCTAGATGGAGGGAAGGCTGTGTGTGGAGGCACAGCCTGTGTGGGGCGAATCAGGACAAGGCGCCCCCTGCAGGTGGCTGAAGCCATGCCTGCCTAGGGCACCGGAGCACACTGAATG